CTTTCGGGGGATGGGCACGAGAAGGGGAGTTCAGGGGTAAAGACTGGCTTTGTCTTCATGGTCTGATGAACGCCATGGCATTAGCTCTCTCTGATACCTAGGACACATTTGTCTTAATTTGTGGACCTCATTTCGAGCCTTTCTTCCCTTTGGCCAAAGAGCTGGAAATCTGCTCCCCGTGACATTTTCCCTAAACTCTTTCCCAATTGGGTGCAAAAGAGCACAGATTTTTCTATAGAGATAGATAGTTCTTTATGAAATGAAAATTTCTGGTTCACAGCCAGGGGCAAGACAGTGCCCCAGACATTCTTATTTCTTCCATCCCTCCCCCCTCTTCCAAGGGAGGAGATTTTTGACCTCACAGCCAAGTAGCCCAGCCAGGCTACTTCCGAAGCTGAGAAAGGTCCTTCTAAGCTCCAAGGACAATGACCCTCAGGGTAAAGATGAAGGAAGCTTTTCTGCTCGATTTACTATTGGCCTAGCTGAGTGCTGAGTGACCTATAATGTTGGCCAAGTTCTTAATCAAGTTCTTAGGGAAGAGATGCCCACAAGCAGTGTTAGCAAACATATGGAATTGTGGGATTCTAGAGCTGAGAGGGAGCTTCCACATCATCTAATCTAATCCTCCTTCAACACCTGATGCCTTGGAGGAAAAGTGCTGGACAGGGAGCCAAGTGAAACACATCTTCAAAGATTAGTTCTAATCCTTATTAGCTGGACAAAATACTTCACCTCTCTGAAGTTTCCTCATCTGTAGATGTGTACCTCTCTAAGTCTGAGTCTTTTCATCTGTAAAATAATGATAAAATATTTCCTCTCTTTCTCTGAGTCTCATTTTCTTCTTCTGTAAAATAAGTTTCAGTATAGCAGCTGGAGGTAACCCCATTACACTTGGGTTCTACAAGAAACTATCCCTACTGCAAGTTACTCACTGGGTCTACATCCACTGAAAAACCACAATTCATGAGCCCCCATTAGTGTGTTTACCTTTTATAGTCAGCCAGAGTGAGCAATTAGTTCAAAACAAATGCATTAAATAAAACAGCATAGTATGAAAAGTTGCCTTAAAATATTTCCCCCACAAACGTTGGGCACACTCTCCCATAATACTATTAATTGGAAGAGTGGACATGCCTAACATGTATGGAAAGACATTCATATAGGAGTTGCATGTGGCCAAGGGAAGTGTATAGAGAGCATGTTCCCTTCTATGACCTCTCTCTCTCTCTCTCTCTCTCTCTCTCTCTCTCTCTTCTCTCTCTGTCCCCCTCTATCTCTTTCTCTCTTTTGCTGGCTCTGTCTCTGTCTCTGTCTCTCTCCTTCCCAGTTTTTCTCTGACTCTTCAATATCTCTTGCATCTCCCATGCAGATGAAGCTGAGCCAGGGAAGGAGGCTGGGAAGGAATCCCAAAACTAAAAATAAAATCAAGTGGAGTCTCCATCTCAATCCTTTGTTCCAGCTAGGCCTGGAATCAGGAAGACCTGAGTTCAAATCTGACCTCAGACACTTACTATCTATGTGACCCTAGGCAAGTAACTTACCCTCTCTCAGCTTCAGTTTCTTCATTTGTAAAATGAGGAGTTTGGGCCTGACCTCTATGGTTCCCTCTTTCTGTACGTCTAAGATCTAAATATCTGCTGGAACTCTCTGCCAAAAGAAGAGTGACTAATCATTGCATAGCATCATAGATTTAGACCTAGAAAGAACGATCATTTGACAGCTGACTGGACAGGGATATGACCAGGTCAGGGTCACACAGGAAGTAAGTAGTGGAGTTAATTTCCATATCTTCTGACTTTAAGTACAATAGTATTTCTATCTGCCTTAATGATAATTTCATGCTTCAAAAGGTAGGAGGGAACAAGGAGAAATTATATTCTGTATCTGGTTCTCCCAAAGGGAGAGGAAGAGGTTGTTGGGGGTGGCAATGATGGGAACATTGTGGGGAAGTGACCATTCCATATCAGAATTTTTGACAGAGGAGAGGAAAATAGAGAATATAGTTTGATGTGCATGTACCCAAGATTTGGGGAGAATTGGTTTCAGAGGGTTCAGGGGAAGGATAGCCAGGATCCTATGAGCAAAAATTCTGTAGGGAAATTTAGCCCAGAAGGGCTAGGGAGATCTCAAGAATAAAATTCTAAATATGCAAAGAAACAAGTCAGATGAGGAGGAAGAGGGGAAGTTGTCTAAAGAGATTGACAAGCTGACATGGGGAACTCACCAGATCAACTTAGATTTAAATGACATTTGCAAAATATGAAAGCAAGAGTGAGTGATGGAGGGTGGATACAAAACTGAGGCATTGCCATGTATAAGATTAGCATTGTGAGTGCTGCAGTGCAGAAGTGACCCAAGGGGTCAAAGAATGGGTTCAGAAGTCTAAATTCAGGGCCCAGAACACAGGTAAATGAAGAAAGCTAAGGTCAACAAAGACCAAGTGATCATGTGGACAGAGCACTGGACCCGGAGTCAGGAAAACCTGAGTTCAAATCCAATCTCAGACTTTTACTGGCTCTGTGACCCTGGGTGTGTCACTTAAAAAAAAAATCACTGTCTGCCTCAGTTTCCTCATCTGTAAAATGGGGGTAATAGTAGCACCTACCTCACAGGGTTGTTATGAGGCTATACCGTAAAGCTTGATAGAAATACTAGTTAATATTTTTATCATTATTATTGCTACGACCACCTATTTTGTTTTTGACTCCCCAGTACCTAACACAGTGCCTGGAACATGGTAGGCATTGATGAATGCATGTAGATTGATTACTTCTTTACTAAAGACATTAGGCAGTGGGATATAAAAAAAAATAATTCACCTGTAAAACTACATTTCTCTTGTAAGGAAAATTCTAATGATTTTGCAGCACTTTGTACTACTCAGTATTTGCCTAAGGATTTACTAGCAATGTGGTATTGCTAGTAATAAAGAATGAGTGCAAGGAATCCCCTTCTGCCCCTGATTCTACTCAAATCCCCATCTCTGTTCAAGGAAGAAAAATTAGGTTGGGGAATAACAGGGTAGGAGTGGCCAGTCTGATTCATTTCAGGGAATAATGGGAGAGTCTCTCGTTTGGAGGGCTGGTCCCGGGCACCAATGAAGGTCTCGGAATCCCTAGGCTTAACAGGATTCAGGTCCATTAGTTAAAGCTTTCCCTTTGCACAAGATGACAAGCATACCACCAATTTAAAGGGACAGCTCCCACCCCAGGTCTGGCATGGGGAGGCTAAGAGATAAAAAGAAAGCGTTTTGGTCACAGGGGAGGTGAAGCATGGAAAATGGAAGATAACAACTGAGCCAGTGATGCCTGATACTGCTTTGCTTTATATTTTTCCTTCTACTATAGAAATAGTGAGCTCTCCATCACCTAGTCTTTGTTTGAAGACCTCAAGTAAAGAGGGAACCTATTATCAACTGAGACAGTCCATTTGTCATATGGACTAAGTTCTATTCAGAAAGCATTAACTGAGCACCTACTATGCGCTAAACACCTTGAATACAAAGACAAATAGCTCTGGTTGTTAAAAGTTTGGGGGTTTTTTGGGTGGGTTCCCCTGCTATCACACCTCTTCACAACTGCTCCCCACTATTCATGGTTCTACCCTCTGCCACAAATGGTACTTATGGATGCATGAAGTTGCCTTCAAAGAACAACCACACTGAATAGAATTTAGACTTATTCTGCTTGGCCCTAGGGGTAGAATTATGGGTAAAAGGTGAAAAGGTTAAAAAAGTCTCTTCTAGGCTTGATGTTGGGAAAAAACTTCCTAACCATTAGAATTATCCAAGAATAAAATGGTTGCCTTGGAAGGTGTTTGGTAAGGAAGCAGGAAGCTCATTGGCGACCCAATGACCACTTGTTGGTTATGTGATATTGGGGATTCCTTTTTTTTTTTTTTGGTAAAGCAATTGGGGTTAAGTGACTTGCCCAAGGTCACACAGCTAGTACATGTCAAGTGTTTGGTCTGAGGCCAGATTTGAACTGAGGTCCTGCTGACTTCAGGGCCAGTGCTCTATCCACTGCACCACCTAGCTGCCCTCGGGGATTCTTTTTCAGGAGTGGATTGGACTAGGTATCCCCTGAAGATCCTTCCAGTTCTGATGGTCTGTCACCTCTAAAATCCCTTTTGGCTCCCAAATCCTACAATCCCAGAGCTTGTCTGACACCCATCATTCTGCTGACAAATGACAAATCATCAGTAATGATTTGAAATTCTTCTCCAACGGCTACTCAGTGGTCCAAGTGAAATGAGTCGGAATTTTGACCCAGTTTCAAATGGAAAATGTCCATGTAACACTAAAGAGGCTATTGGTCTCTTACCTGCCATTATTACCAGAGAACAGAATGACTCCAGACTCCACTGAGGCCAGACTGCTCCAGGATGGCAAGGGGGGGAGGGGTTGGGAGAAGGGGTTCTTTGTCTTTGCTTTTGCCTTTCTGCACTCCTTGAGAGGAGGAGAAAAGAGTAGAAGCTTACTCTATTATTATCATTTTGTCATTCTTGTACTATGCTGGGAATGGATGATTTTAACCTAGAGGGAAGGTCACACCTCCTAATGTTAACTAGTAATTCATTTGACAAAACTTTAAGAAAAAAGAGACAGAGAGGCAGATTCAGACAGACAGTTCAAGAAAGAAAAAAAGAGAAAGGAAGGAAGGAAGGAACAGGGAAGGAAAAGAAAGAGAGGGAGAGAGAGAGAAAGAATGAATGAAAGAAAAAAGAAAGAAGGAAGGAAGAAGAGAAGGATGAAGACAGAAAGAGGAAGGAAAGAAAGGAGAAAGAAAGAAGGAAAAAGTAAAAGGAAGGAGGGAGGGAGAGAAAGGAGAAAGAAAGAGGAAGGAAGGGAGAAAGAAAGAAAAGGAGGAAGGAAGGAGAGAGAAAAGAGAAAGAAGAGGAAGGAAAGAAAGGAAGGAAGGAAGGGAAAGGAAAGGAAAAGAAAAGACTATCATTACAAGCTCTCCACACTGACAAATAAATTCTTTTTTTTTTCTTCCTAGGAAAATCCCTCATTAACCAGCCCCCTAAGCAGGAAAACATACAGGAGAAGAGAAAAAAACAATGAATGCTTAATTGTTTGTGGCAGCAGCAACACAAAGTCCTCAGTTCTTCATATGTATGTGAATACGTGTGTTTTCACCCTCCTACTTCTCCACGAACTTCTCAACAAGAGCTGTATCCCCAGCCCCCAGATTTGTGACCTGCCCCTAGACATGCATCTCTCCCAGGGCTGTGGCCTTCTGTCTGTCTCGTGTCCCTCGGTTCTGTCGTGGTGGGCTTCAGGAGCAGTTCTATGCCAGGGCCAGGGTAGAAGGGTCCTTTGTGAAATCTCCCGGAAGCAAGTTTGCACTGACTCAGGGAAGGCTGTTCTCTAGAAGAACCCAGTAGTATCCAGAGGTATCAGGGTTGGGCAGGGTGGGCTCTTTTGCCCCTACCCACCACCACCACCAACAACAACAACAACAAAAAAAAAAAACCACTTTGGTTCCATTACATCATGACAAAGTTGGACCCAGTAATGGAGCTCTTGTGTTGAATTGATGTTCTTCCAAAAGTCTAACCCTGGTGTTTTGAGAAGATGTGGCCATTAATTAAGATGGATGCCTTTGCAATGAAGGAAAGAAATAGCCATGTGAGACTGAAAGATACCCAGGTATTTTTTCAATGATGGGGTTGCCCAGGACTTCAGTTTCTTAATTCAGTGCTGAGAGATTAACCCTTGACTTTGGTGAAAGTTTGCTTCAGTTAATTGGCACACTGATTGCCCGAGTCTTCAAGGTCACCTCTCAAAGGTTCCTAGAACCATGTTGTCAGAGCTTGGTTTCTCTTTGGGAATTTTGTAGATTCCCATGTTACTCACAACACATTAAAAGGCCAGGATAGTCATGAAAATGAAGTGGTAGCTTTGGTATGGGTTTCTGCTCTTCTTGTTCTTGTTTCAAAATGGAGTGAGATCCTTGTATCTAAGTGATATGTTGAGTTGATCTTCAACACATGTTTAAGGTTTTCTAACATCTCCTAACTCCTAGAAGATAACCATCCTTTATAGCCCTCTATAACTAGAAACCTCTAAGTTATTTCCAGCACCCTAGCTTTTTTCAACTAATGGAGAATCACAGACAACCAGAGAAGGATTAGAGGGTTTTTTTTCTCTAACCTTGTCTGCAAGTTCACCTTCCTTTGGAAGCTCTGGTCTTTGGGATACAGCACCACCAAGTCTCCTTCTGACTCCTCTAAGTCAGAACCAAAGAAAAAAGCCTGATCCCTGAGGATGGAAACCCAACAAGGCCTACTTGACGGCTGCCCACATCATGACACCTACAGCTCAGTGATTTTCTGCTCCGGAGGGGTGGATTGGGAGGCTTCAGTGTGTGGGTGGGCAATGGTTTGCTGCAACTGGTCCCCAGAGATGAAAATGGAACTGGTTTTCTCTTGGAATTCCAATTTTTGCTGTTGAATCTTGTGTGTGGTGTGAAATTATTTCTACGTGGAAGAGTCCAGACCAATGTCTCCAACATCTCCCCTAACCCAGGATAATAACTAGGGCAGAACAAAGGGTCTTTGCCTCAAGGCAACAAATTTAAAGGGCACCCTGTATTTGGAGGCCTGATGATTGTACTTAGATTGCTTCAGCATTGTAGAAACAATAATAATACTAGTTAGCATTTATTGAGCACCTACTATGTGCCAGGCACTAAGCTAAGTGCTTTACAATTGTATCTCATTGGATAGGTAGGTGCTATTATTCCTATTGTACAGATGAAGAAACTGAGGCAGATAGGGATTAAATGACTATGTGACTAGGAAATGTCTGAGGTTGGATTTGAACTCAGATTAGTCACCTAGCTACTATAACAGAATTTACTTAGTGAGAAAGAATAATAGGAAGTTATCAGATGGTACTCATCAAGGATGAGTTCCTCCCTCACTTGTCAATCAGCAAGCCTTTATTATATGTCTACTATGTGCCAAGCATTTCGAATACAATGGCAGAAATGAAGAAACATTCCCAGCCCTAAAGGAGCATCAGTCTCTCCAATCTAGCAGCCTCACCTTAGTGTCCGGGGGTCTCTGGCTCCTGAAACAGAAGTGCTGCTAATCCAGAGGACCCAGATTCTTGGTTACAGTTTTGCTTCCCCCCTCCCTGTCCCCACTCCCCTCCACCACCTCCATCTCACCAATGCCATCGTAGGCCCCAGTAGGAGCCCTGGCATAGGAAAAGGCAAACAGGCTTTGGATGCTTCAGCAAGACCTCGTTCCTCATCCACAATCTGTCTACAAGCGACTAAGCCCACTTGAATTGTGTGTCAACTGCCCATCAGTTGATAGAGAGATGGTGATGGTGTTATATTGACAAGCCCTACCCTATCACTTGTACCAACAGCAGCTACCCTAACAGAAAGTGCTTTCAGAGGCCATTCCTTAAAAGCAGACTAGATACTACTGAGGAGTTATTAGGTTTATAGTGTAGAGCTGGTTCTGCCCTTTTTTTTCCCCCATCAGTGATTTCCACCATGCCCCCTGAAGTAGTAACTCTGTCCTTGTGATGGGCAAATTTTAGAGGACTCGAAAAGGCCATGAGAACCAATTTAAAAATAAGTTTGCTACCTGAATCATGATTTTGGAAATCCAGGAGTTTATGAGATGGTTATAACCAAGAATATAAAAATATTACTGCAACTTGTCCAAATAAATTATCATATCTCAATAATGCACAAGGGAAAGCACTTTAGCTTTTTCTTAGGAAGGATTTAAAATTTGCTTTATGGCCTCTTGCTGTCCATAGTGCCTGATAAAACTTTAACCGTGGAATCTTTAAACCCACAGCAATGGTTTTTGCCCAGGCCTCATCCGTGCCTGTCTAACGGCCTCATCAGCCTGGAGCCAGGTCCATTTCCCAAAAAAAACTGATAGAAATTTCTGCCAAACTATAGGGTGACCTCCTAGCCCTTGAACAGGAGAGGATCATTGCTCCCATCCTCCTCTGGGACCACTCCGGTTCTCAATTAAGTCCTGATTGGCCACAGAACCCCCTGGGTCTGCAAGAGAGCCCCCTAGGAGGATTCATCAGGGGAAGTGGGTAATGTCTCCAAGATGAATTGGGTGCTGATTACAGTGCCTGACTGCCATTGAAATGGTTTGTTTTGGAAGGAAAGCGAGGTTCATTGTGTGATTGATTTCATTAATTCAGACTCAAGCCCAAGGAGTTCTGGGATATAGACTTGTTATCCACAAAACTCAAGAATTCTCTCCCTGGGGCTCATTAGAAAGTAGGGAGGAAAATACTGAAAGTAGAATGGCAAGGATAGAATGACACTTGGAGATTTCAGTTTGGGTTGAAAAGTCCGCAATTAGCAGAACAGCAAGCCATCCCCCCCAGAAATTTGAAGGAGCCTGATGCATCAAAGCATTAGTCTCTTACTGTTTGCACCCCCAAACTATCACCCTCACAATGAAACATTACGACTGTCCCCACAGTGATCCATGAACTATAGAAATAATGGTTATTTTTTCTCTTGGACAACATGAATTAGTCTCCAATTATGTGCAGAGACTTGTGTTCAGAACTGGGGAAGATGGAAGGGAAGGGAATAAGCACTTATTAGGCACCTGCTGTGTGCCAGAAACTGTGCTAAGTGTTTGACAAATATCTCATTTGACACAAAGTTTAGCTAAGACAGGCCCCTGCCCTCGAGGAATTCACAGTCTAGGTTGAACTATTGGAGAACCTAATAGAAAGCTGTAATTTCAGTTGAAAATGATTACCAGGATGGAAAAGAAGATTGGGTTGTCACCTGGGCAACCTTAGCTCATTGCACTTGCCATGAGGATGATTTCAGATCTAGGTTCAAATCCCAAATCTTATACTTTCTACCATTGTGTCCTTGGACAAATCACATGATCTCTCTGAGCCTCACTCTCCTCACTTGTAAAATAACAGGGGTTAGACCAGAGAGTTTTGAAGGTCCCTTCCAGTGTCAAAGCCATGAGTTTCCACCCAGTTCATCTTCTTAAATGTAAATACATATAACACCTCAAGTAGGCAAAGCATGGGCACGGCCCTGATGACTTCTGCACCCTTTTGAGGGGTCTGTCCAACCCTAATTGCAAGTTCTGGCTTAATTGTCACTCAGGCTCTTACTCTCACAGGCTCAAAGGAGTCCTGGCAAAAATTCATCAGCCCATGAAGTATTGCTTCAAGGTGACTCAGTGGGTAAGGGGTGGGATAGGGTTCTCATTCCTCGCTAAGTAGCAAGCATGCAAAGAAATCTTATTCCATTGGTTCTAATCACTGAAAAGCTTCAAGTCTCAGATTAGGCTTTATGACAAGGCCTCAGAATCCTTTCTGTTAGGCTTTATCAGGAAACAAATGTCTACATGTTTTGACAGGAAGACTTCCCCCTACTCTTGTCCAGAAGAATGCCACTGCTACCCTGTTCCACCAAATTCCACAGTTCCACATTCATTCTTTTGGTTTAGACTAAATAGTGGCTTCATTCATTTTTTATTGTTGTTGTTAGCTCTAGACCAGGGTTGGGGAACCTGAGGCTTTGAGGCCACATGTGGCCCTCTAGGTCCTCAAGTGCAGCTCTTTGACCGAATCCAAACTTCATAGAACAAATCCCCTTAATAAAAGGATTTGTTCTGTAAAACTTGGACTCAATCAAAAGGCCACATCCAAGGACCTAGAAGGCCACATGTGGCTCGGGGCTGCAGATTCCCCACCCCTGCTCTAGACCCTTGATTCTATCAGTGTTGGGAATTCCTTATACTTATCTCTCGTAATTTAGAGTCTTAGGAAGTTGCTTTGGAAGAATTCAGAGTTTAGGGATTTGCCCATGGTCACACAATTAGTATGGCTGAGGCTTATTCACTGTGTTGTGCTGCCCCTCATTTATCCATATTAAAGTAAAAATATCCCCTAGTGACACATTCCACTGTCAGGTAGCTGCAGGTGAAAGGGCACTAGAACCTAGGTCCTAGGTCAAGATACAGATTTCTCATCCTGACTCTGCAACGAACCAGCTAGGTGACTATGGACAAGTCACAATTTCTCTGAGCCTCAGTTTCCTCATCTGTAAAAAAGAGTAGAATAACATCTCCCTATTTGCCTCTCAGGGTCCTAGGGCCTAAATGAAAAAATACATACATACATACATACATACATACATACATACATATATACATACATGTTTGAAATCCCTTTGAGAACTACAATGTGCCATACATGCACAAAGTATTTTCACTTTTAAAAGCTGCCAGCAATGATGGATCACCGCTGTACTAGTGAGAAATGAGAGATGTCTTGGAATTTTGTGCTATACAGGATTTATCTGCAAAATAAGGGGGTTGGATTAATATCCTCTTAGTTCCCTCCCAGCTCTAAATTCAATATCCTCTAACCAAATAGCATTTATGAAGCAGCCCATGTATGTACAAACATATCAGCCATTAAAGCAAATGAAGCACCAACACCTCCCCCCAACCCTGGCCAGTGTCAATAGGTTCCATTTTGAATCTGATCCATCAAATATGTGCAAGAACTAAGCAAAGCACAGAAGACAAAGAAAATTATGACAGACTCAGGAAGCCCAAATCTGGAGCAGAAGGTAAGCCTTTAATACAAGGATGGATCTGATCTCATCCATGTGAGGACTAGAAGCCTTCTCAACATGTGCATTTCCATAGACCATCCATAGGTGATCTACCCAATGTGTCCAATGTCTTCTTCTGATGGTTCTCCCCCACCTCAAAATTTCACAGACAATTACATGAATCACTCATGTAACATCTATGCTGCCTTTCTATTTTTCACTCCCATTAGATGATCCACCCACCTCCTTTTCCATTCACACATGCCTAACGCTGTCTTCTTTTGGCCAATTTTTGTGCACATGTTATCATTAGTAACTTGTCTTAGCCTACTAGGGCATTTCTACCTCTGTAGCCTTTGGATTTCCAGTAATTCAGAACCTTCAGAGATCATAGTGTCGAATGATAATACCCAGAAACATTGCAGAACTAGAACAATCTTGGTAGGAAGAAGATATCGTTAGACAACAGAGAACAATCTGGGATCATTGACAACACTGCCATTTTCCGAATGTGATGTGAACTGCCAGTTCCCTCTCTTCCTCCTGGTCAACCCGGCCCAGTTGCCTTTCCACAGTCAGTGAGTAGAACCCACAACAAAGATGGGGCCACTAGGGGTTTGCTTCAAGGTAGTACATTTAGAAGTCACTAGCAATATTATCTTAAGTCACAGCTACTTCTCTCCCAAACCATACCTCCCTAGTGGTCTCAAATGTAGCCTCCCCTTCTTCCCAGTAGTACCTTCCTCTCCCTTCATTAGCTTAAAAAATTCCAAGTGTCCTGGGATGCTGACTCCACACAGTGGCTACATCATGAGTAACAGACCACTCTCCCTACCTTCCCCCAACCCCAATGCTGCTGCCCC